TTTTAATAATTGAGATATATTTATATTTATTAAAAACAATTATTTTTCACTTAAAAAGTCACAAAAAATTGTAATTATTAAAAATAAAGAGATAAATAGTTGAAATTTTATATAAATATGATATATAAAATTTGTGTATAAATAAATTATTTTTTATATGATAACATAAAATATAATAATAATTAAACTTATATGTAGTAATATATTTTTTTTATCTTGATTGCACAATAAGAGATAATTATCTCTCATCTCTTATCTCACCCTACCCGCATATTATGCGATTCAAATTCAAAAATTCTTATTTCTAACGTAAAGAGATCATTATTTAGTTATTTACGTCGTTAGCATGTATAATAATATTAAAGTTATAAAACTAGTATAAATGGGCTATATCCAAGTGCTGATGGTTAACATATTGTTTACTATTTAAATATTCTTATTTATCCAATTAATCTAAACCGCTATTAAACATTATCTTTAAACACTTGCAAGTAAAATATCAAAGAAATACTAGATTGTTTACCAATTCAAGCTTCCTTTTAGTAAAAAAAAAAAAAAGTTAACAATTTTATGTTGTAAGATTTTGTTATCAAAATAATCTAATCAACAAAATATTTTAGTTTTTTTTTTTTAGAAAACAAATTATTTTGGTTAAAATAACATAATAATGGTGATGTGGCATCACCTGATTGGTCTGCTGATGAAAGAAAATGTTTTTCCTTTTTTTTTTTTTTTGAGAAAATAAAAATGCAAATTGGAGGATGTGTGTTGGCAGCGACTGTTAGTAATGGTCACCTGCAGTTACTTCATCAAAGCTGAAACTTAAAACAGACAAAGTCCAAAGTCTCACATTTCCACAAAAACGCCCGCCCCGCCTTTTACTCCTCCGTTTCCGATCTGCGATCTCCGGTCTTCGATCTTCGTCCTGTCTCCGATCCAAAACCCTAAATTCTATGCTCATTTCCTCTCCTTTAAACCCTGATCGGTGATCACGATGCTTCAGATCTGAACCTGCCTCTTCACTGTTGTCTTTGACAGATCTGAGCTACTCTCCGATCTCAGGTAGGTGAGGTCCTTTTCTTGCTCAATGTTTGGATTTTTGTTTTATTGAATTTGATACGATCCAAGTCTGTCAGCCTCATTTGTGATCGGTAATTTATGTGTTTTGTTTGTTTGTTGAGCGCGTAGATTTCGTCTTGTATTGGAGGAGTAAGAGAGTTTTAGAGTATTGTTTGATTGAATTATGGCAGCTCCAGTGCCTCCAGGGGCACCTAGACCTGGCAGCAATATGCAACCGCCTCCACCTAATTATAATCCCAATTTTCAAAGCAATCCTGCTTCGTTAGCTGATAACATGCAAAATTTGAACCTAAATCGGGCTCCTTTATTGCCCAATTCTGGTCCTAGGCCGTCCCCTTTTGGCCAACAACCACCTTTCTCGCAATCTGCTCCTACCAGTGGATTTCCTGGTGTATCCCCGTCAATGTCCCGACCAGGACCGCCACCTGCTATGATGGGAAGATCTGCAGTGCCCCCTACTGGACCTCCACAATCCACATTGCCTGCAAATGTACCCCAAGGAAGGCCAACTGGTCCACCTGTTAGTCAGCCACAACCCTTTGGGTCCAGACCTTCTCTTGGGTCCTTGCCAACTTCAATGAGTGGTCCAATAGTTGCGCCTTCTGGGGCACCTTCTAGCGGTTTCCCTTCATCAGGTGTTCCTAGTGGTGCAGTTCCACCTCCACAGGTTGCTCGCCCAAGTCCATTTATGTCTTCTTCACCTTTGTCTGGCAGCCCAATTGCACCCCCATCTAGCGTACCTGGTGGTCCTTTGACCAATGGGCCGCCAATGATTGGTTCAGGAGCTTTGGCAGGTGCACCTCGATTTCCTTCTGCTGCAAGCCTCTCACAACCTCCTCTTGGACCTCCTCCAACAACGATTTCAGCTAGGGCTCCAACTCAGGTTCCAACTATGCGTTCTGTTTTAGGAGGTTCTGCCATTAGTGCACCTCCAGGTCCTCCCATGCAACCACCATCACCATTGTCAGGTATGCCTCAAGTTAGGCCGCAGACCACCGCTTCTCCCTTTGGACCACAAGCATGGCAAGGGCAACTGCCACAGGTGAGTACAGATTTTTTTTATAATATTATGCTTTAAGTGTTTTTCAAAATGAGGTTTTAACTATTTTTGGATTATATGTTGTTTAGCTGATTTTTAAGTAGGTTGCCAGATGTTAAATCTTTAAATTCTTCTTTCTGTTTTATGTTTTGGAAAGAATTTTTCTAGTTCTATAGTGGGTGACATTGTTTGTTAAAGTTTATTGGATTTTAGATTTTGGATTTTCATTGCTGAAAGTGTAATGATCAGAACAAGTTTAATACTTTATCTTTCCTCGTGATCCTGTCTATGGTTTACTTATATACATGTAGATGCTGTTTGTTTGCGTTGGAAGGAAAATGTCAAATAAGTGCTATGGAGACCCTTCATTGTCTAATGTAGGGATGAGTTAAGAGGGACATTTCAGCAAAGCTATTATAATTCCAAAATGAGAATGAGGATGTTTTTAATTTGTAATCATTTGAACTTTCAACTATAAATTGAAATGAGTTCTGCACTTAACTGTCATTTTTATTTCAAATATTAGGCAGAAGCTTATCAGAAAATCCAAAACTAGTTAATTTTATTATTATTACAAGAATGTTTTGTTAATTTTGGGTGTCATCTTCCTTTCATGCGCATTAATCATTAAGTTGGAGATTGTTTCAGGCTACTCTGTCTCAATTTCCTGGTTCTGCACAACCACCGAGGATGATTGGAATGCCACCTCCACTACCAAATCAAGCCATGACTACCATGCCACATGCTATGGGTCAACCTGGAGCCCCTCTGGCTGGCCCATCAAAGATTGATCCTAATCAAATTCCAAGGCCCATTCCTAGTTCCTCACCCGTTGTGCATGAAACACGCCAAGGCAACCAGGCCAATCCTCCTCCGGTATGATTTTTTGACCATTTCACATAAGGTCAAGTAAAAACTTAATTTGATGTGGGTTTAAATATATATTTGTATGTTCTGATTTTTTCCTTGAGGTTTTATGCTCTCCCATTATTTTTGTTTGTATTGTAAATTTGTAACTATATAACATCTATTTTCTGTGTTTTTCTGATCAATATCTATCTTTTTGAAGCCTGCTACTAGTGATTACATTGTCAGAGATAATGGAAACTGCAGTCCACGCTACATGAGGTGCACTATCAATCAGGTCATAGCAATGTTTTTAACTTAGTGCAGCATTTTATTTCAATTTGTAATATCTACTGCTTTTCTGAATTTCAGACCATAATTTCGGGGTCCAGTCATGCATGTTGGTGTATTTAATTGTTTATTTCTCTTCATGTAACAGATCCCATGTACAGCCGATCTTTTATCAACATCTGGAATGCAGCTGGCTTTGTTGGTCCAGCCATTGGCCCTCTCCCATCCATCAGAGGAGCCTATTCAAGTATGTTTAGATTTAATTTTTTATGCCTCAGGATATGTTCTCAATAATAGTTGTATTTCCCAATTCAATAACTTATGAGAATTTCCATTACCAATCATGCCTTAAAACATATCTCACTACAGGTTGTGGACTTTGGGGAAAATGGTCCTGTGCGCTGTTCTCGCTGCAAAGGTTATATAAATCCTTTCATGAAATTCATCGATCAGGGAAGGAAGTTTATCTGCAACTTGTGTGGTCAGTATTATTTATTTGTATGCTTTCATTACCTTATTTTTACTTGTTTCCTATGGTTGTAACTGTATGCTAGCTTCTGTGGAAAGATTTATTGTATTTGTGTTTACTTGTGTCAAAATATAGTGTTGAGCTGTACATTTTTCTTTGAGGTAACTATTTTGTATTGCTCCTTAGCCATTGTGATTTTTTCTTCACTTGTCAATGATTTGAATGTTGTTATTCTCATTGAACATTCTTGTTTATCATTTATGGCACTTCCTGGATTATGATGTGTCTGCTGGTATTTATAATTCACTGCTTAGAATTTAACATTGCACCTGTAGTTGTTCACATCTGTTTGGCCACATATTATAGGTAAAATTTTATTACCAGTGCGGTAATGGCATCTTCTGCATGTTGCACTGTTGTCTGGGAGCTAGAGAATTTTTAGTTGGTGACTTTACCATGCATATGTTTTCTTGCAGGATTCACTGATGATACTCCACGTGACTACCACTGCAATCTGGGTCCAGATGGCAGGCGTAGAGATGCTGATGAGAGGCCTGAGCTTTGTCGAGGAACAGTTGAATTTGTTGCCTCAAAAGAATATATGGTTTGTTAATTTTCAAGCTTTTCAGCTTTTTAAATGGTTTGTTAATTTACAAGCTTTGCAGCCTTTCAAAGATAAATTTGTGATCTCTACCATAGCTAACCGCATTAGCTGCAGTCTCTCTCACTTTTGTTTGTTGTCATTTGAATAAAAAATTGTAAGACATATGAAGACATTTGAAAGATCACATATAACCAAATTCATGGTTCGGCTTTGATCAAGAAAAGTACAATGTGGTGAATATGCCTATGCTCAACTCAACTAAACCATAATCCCAAATTAGTTTGTGATGGTTATATGAATCCTTCTTTCCTGATTTAGATCCAGAGTATTCCAAGACAGTGGAGACACCCTGATTTTACCTTACAACCTTAACAGGCTAAAAGACAAGGATGATATGTTCCATAAAAACAGAATATTTATGTACTAATTGTCATTTTCTTGACTTACCTTGGAGTAATAATGTAATATGGTTATGCTAGTATGGCTGCTGGCATGCTTTTTGATTTGGATGATAACACATGCTGCATCTATTTAAGGTCTACTTTCCCTCCTGCTGGAGGATATGATTGGTTAAATTTTATGTTAATATTTGTGAAGTTCATCTGACCTGGCTTTCCCTTGGCTCTATTCTACTCTTTTTATTTATTTATTATTATTTTCTTATTAGTCTCTAAATTTTAGGTTCGTGATCCAATGCCAGCTGTGCACTTTTTCCTCATCGACGTATCAATGAATGCAGTACAGACAGGTGCAACAGCAGCAGCTTGCAGTGCAATCAATCAAGTTATTTCTGATCTTCCAGTGAGTTTCACATCAATGTGTTGAATGTATGGTATTTGGTTCATTCTTTTGGAATCTGTTAATCTTGTTGAATTTTCATTGTTTTTCTCTTCATTGTTGATTAGTATGGTTGGGCTCCAATAGTCTAGGTTCTTTCATTCTATGGTTTAGATGACTGATTTGTGTTGTTGGTCCTGTTAGCACTATGTTGCACTTGTGAAGTGTGTGTTTTCCTGATCAAATTGAGAAACTTCTTAAAAAGATTAGCGAGGCTCAAATTAGTCAACATGAGTAAAATAGGAGTACGGTGTAATTAGTTTAGTTTAACTTGTTTGTTTTGGACAGTACCACAAGGAGTCAAGTGTATACTTGGACTGCTACACTAGTTCTTGTAATTGTGTGATTTAAGTCAAAAACATGTTAACATAATCAAAGATCAGGATGACTAAGAACAACTATCATTTCCCTTTGAGTGAATATTCAAATATGGTGCAAGTGTTGTACAATTATTGACATGTCTTGATTTCTTATTTCAGGAGGGTCCTCAAACTATGGTGGGAATTGCAACATTTGACTCAACAATCCATTTTTACAATTTAAAACGGGCATTGCAGCAGGTATAAAATAAGTTGCCACCTCCTTACCCTATTTCCAGCATTCCACTTGTCTTTCTCTTTCTATTGATAGTAGAAGATTTTTTTCTTTTCCTAATAATATTGGATGACTACAATTAACAAAGGAAAAAGTGGATTAGAAAATTATTATAGTGACTATGATGGTAACAGCAATGTTAGTAAGTACTTGATGGTATTTCTCAGCTGATTTTGATGTCTTTGCACATTGGCAGCCGTTGATGCTCATTGTTCCTGATATACAAGATGTTTATACTCCTCTGGAAACAGATGTTATTGTTCCACTCTCAGAGGTATGCTTTAAAGCATGGAATGTTCAGTTGGATCTGCAGAACCCTATGGAATGGATATTTTGAAAATGGCTAATTATGTGGTATAATTTTGTCTTTAAGAATTACCAAAAACTTCTAATGACTTTAATTTTTTCTGAGGATGCAGTGCCGTCAACATTTAGAGCTTTTGCTGGAAAGCATCCCAACAATGTTTCAGAATAGTAAAACTGCTGAGTCATGTTTTGGAGCTGCAATCAAGGTCTGCTTTTATTTTACGGTTTTGGTATGAATTAATGATGCTTGAATTGCCTTTTGCTATTTCAAATATGCAATAGTATCACAAACATTTGCACATCCTGTAATGAGTATGGTGTGTTGTCTCCAATGCATATGTGCATACACCTCTATGGTGCAGCAAAAGCTCTTCATTACATGAATTTTTTGTGCTTTTCTATAGAGATATAAATTTTGCCTCATTGAATCAAATTGCACCTAGGCATCCTGTAAGTGTTTCCTTGTTCAATTTGACCTTATATGCCAACCTGAAAACATGCCTCTGGGCCTAATTGAATCCAAAAAAAAAAATCATTGGGAGGTAAACTGAAAATAATGTTAGAAATTGAAGGGCTTAAATTAGGGTGTTTCCAGGAAGTTATAATGTCTGGTTTAGAAAAGGAGAGACCCTTATTTATGCAGAGTGTGTTAATATCTAACTGGCCTGTCCCTGTTTCAGGCTGCTTTCTTGGCCATGAAGAGTACTGGTGGAAAGCTTCTACTATTCCAGTCAGGCAAGCTCATAAACTTATATAAAATTATTTCCTTTGGTCTCAAAATATGTTATTTTCATTGCATATGTCTTTTGTCTTGCAAATTCTTATTGTTTAGAAGTAAGTATGTTGCGCATTAGCATGTGTACATTTGTTTGTTGCTTTGACATTACTTTTATGCTTGTGAGAATTTGTATCTTGGTGTTTGTTGGCAATTATGACACATAAGAGATCTTATAATCTTTGCATCCCGATGTAAATTTTCAAGATATGCATTTGCTGTTTATGCTTATGATGTTTGGATCCTGGTGTGAATTTTCAACGTATACATCAGCACCAGTAGTCATAACTAAACCTCCATGTTTGTATGACTACTGGTGATTATTCTGTCATGTTTTCCACTAATTTTAGAATTGTTCTAATGAATGTTATTTTTCTTACAGTCTTGCCATCAGTTGGCATTGGAGCCCTCTCTTCAAGGGAAGCCGAGGGTAGAACAAACATCTCTGCTGGGGAAAAGGTTTGCATGTTCTCTTTATTCGTCTCCAGTAATGTCTGCTTTTTAATGAAAATTATATTTCTGTTTATATCAAATTTAATTTTAGCATTGATTAGTTATTCTTATTCACTATATAAAGTATGTTTTTCTGGGTAGCAAATCTTTGTATTTGTTGGTATTTGTCCCAAGAACCTATTTTATCTGGTTGTAATGGAGAATGCAGGCTGTTTCTCTTTGCTATTTTTAGTGTCTGCAAATATATTTTTCCCATCTAGAATATTTGGTTATAATCTGCAGTTGGTTTGAAGCAAAGCTTCTTCAGCCCAGATAAGATACCTGCAATCCACTTTTAATATGGTTGTTTAACCTAAATTTT